GATTGCATTTATATAGCGCTTTTCGGGACCCCTCAAAGCGCTTTACAATACCACTATTCATTCACTCTCACATTCACACACTGGTGGAAGCTACAGTTGTAGCCACAGCTGCCCTGGATCGAACTAGCAGAGACGATCATGCCATATCGCGCCATCGGCCCCTCTGGCCATCACCAGTAGGTTGTAGGTGAAGTGTCTTGCCCAAGGACACAACGAACAAGATAGACAGAGCTGAGGATCAAACCGGCAACCTTCCGGTTACAAGCTGAGCTGGTCACTAGAGGAACTGCAGGTTTTTGGCAAAGGTGACTTCATGTTATGTTGTCTTTCTGTTATTGGAGTTTTCTGTCTATTTGTCACTAGTTTGAAACGTTCTTTATGGTAGTTTCTATAATTTAATTGAAGTTTTTTTAATCAGCAACAAGTCACAACAACGTTGGCCTCGGGGCACTTTATTCTGAAAGGTAAAGACCCGACAGTATTGTGGAGAGAACCCCAGCAATCAAGTGACCCCCTGTGAGCAGGCACATTGTGATTGTGGGAGAGGAAAAAGTCCCATTGAAGGGAAAGATCCTGTGAGTGACGAGAAAGAGAAAAGAAGAGCAACGGGTGGATACTTACCTACATGTACTTTCTGCAGTGAATAGAGCTGCATGGGCATAACCAATAAAGGACTTTAATCTTTATCTTATTGCACACATTGTAATATTATCATTATGAATCACTCAGTATGCCCCCCTCTGGTGCTGCACTTTATTTGTTTTATTTAGATTCTGAATAATGCACAGCAGCTTCTTTTGTTTCCAACAAATGAACAGGTTGCATTTTATTTTAGTCGAGTTCAGTTTCCTGAGTCACGCTGTAACGTTTGGAGCTGTGCAGCAATAAAGCTGTCATCCTTAAATTAAAGGGCCTTTGTTTTATTATCTCTGGATCATAAAGCTGTGTTTGTGATGCAGGCAGGATCCAACATCAGCAGCTCTGTAGGACCTGACGTGAAACAGTTTTTACAAACAGCGCAGAGGTCAGTTCTGTGTAAATGAAGCATTTCCATAAAACTGAGACACCAGCTGCTGCTGCTGTTACTCATCTGTTCAATCTGAGACCAGCGAGCGTGTCACAGAAAACTGACATTGAACAATAAAAAGAAACTAGAAAGTGAAAATTTCAGAACTAATTTTAAGTGTGCCTATGCCAATCAGTGTAGTTTGCCTTTAATGTGGTGCAATTAGTGCAGGTTGCCATTTATAACACTAGGGGGAGGGAAATTGAATACAGCTGATTTTCAAGTTAAAGAAAAGTAAGGTGTATTGTGATCTCTGCTATATGCAGTGCAGCATACAGAGATGAGAGAAAGATGCTCCAGTTACACCATTACAAAAGAAGTTAATAGATATAAAAGAAATTATGTTTAAGTGAGGTGTTCAAGAGAAGTTACAATTTAGATTTTACAGTTTTGAGTCGTTTAAAGTGAACAGTTTAACAGATTGTAAGCCAAAGTAAGTTTTCTTGGTAGAAAAAAAAAGTCCATTAAGCGGTATTCAATTTGTATTTCAAAGGTATTTTAATGTGAAAAGGGAAAATACCACATGCAAATTTTGAAATTTCCCCTTGTGGGACTAATAAAGGTATCTTATCTTATTCAAATTATATTTTGTACAAATACCATTTACAATAATGTATTCCATTTAAACATGATATTTAG